AGGGGAAGAGTTGCTAAGTACCCTAAACTGCGTGAGGAGGGGCTACCAAGTAACCTAACTGCATTCCTTGTAAGCCCTAAATTCTACTTCTCAGGAAGTTGGGGAGGGGGAGAAGGTAGATTGGGACTGAAGGTAGCAATCTTCTAACTCAGTGGGCTATTTTAAGAAAAAGGCTAACGATCTCTACAGTGCCACAATCACTCCCAGCACTGTAGTAGGGCTTGAAATGAGGGATGGTGATACCTCTGAAAGTTCCTTTATTGTACAGGGTTGTTTTAGTTATTCTGATTTTGTTTCTTTGTTTTGTTTGTTTTTGGTGTTTTTTCAATAGGAAGTAAAATATTATTCTTTCAAGGTCTATTTTTAATGTGTTGGAATTTTGATGGAGATTGCATTGAATCTTTTGGTAAGATGGCAATTTTTAGTATGTCATTCCTACTGATTTTTGAGCATGGGAGATCTTTCCATCTTCTGATATCTTCTCCAATTCCTTTCTTCAAAGACTTAAGTTCTTGTCATATAGGTCTTTGACTTGTTTGGTTAGAGTTATCCCAAAATATCATAATATTGTTTGTGGCTATTGTATAGGGTGTTGTTTCCATGATTTATTCCTCAGTGCATTTATCATTTGTGTATGGGAGGGCTACTCTATTTTTTGAGTTAATCTTTTATCCATCCACATCACTAAAGATGTTTATTAGCTGTAGGAACTCCCTTGTAGAGTATACTTTCTTACCATCATAGTGATAGTTTGACTTCTTCCATTGATGTTCAGGCATCTGAATTTTAGATGATTATATGTCTAGTTGAATATTCTTCCATTTGTCTTTGTTGGATGTTTTATTTTGTTGGCTGTTGCATGGTGTTTTGTTCCTTTGTTTTCTGTTTCTTCTCTTGTCTTCTGGCCTTAGTGATCCAGGGTCCAGGTGACTAACTAATCTTCAGGTCCAGTATGGTATCTCTGTCGATATTTGTGAGACCTTTGATGCCTACATTCCTCCTGGCCTCCTGTAAAGCTGAAATCTTCTTTTAAAGTTGTAGACCATTTCTTAGTGATTGTAATTACAACTGTATTTCACATCTTCAGTTCCAGCTAGCAACTCTAATCCCACTATGGCCATTGCTCACAAACAGTGGAATACTGAAGGGTCCAGACCCTCACCCATCCCTCTGCTTTGTTAGCCATGACAGGCTGCAGAAAGGCCCCTGACTCAGCAGGAGGTGCTAAGTCCCCCTGATGGGAGATGTCGGTCTGTAAATATGTTTCTCATACTGGCTATGGATAAAGCACTTTTGGCCAGGTACTAGTTTCTTATCAGCTAGCTCTGTCTTAAGTATTAACCCATTTCTGATGATCTATGTATTTCCACGTGGTCTCATCTCCCCAGTCTCTCCATCTTGACTCCTCCTTACTCCTTTCTCTTTTCTCCTTGTCTCCTAGTCCCTCCTATCTTCCTTTCCTCTTGGCCAACAGTGCTTTATTCATAGCCAGTATGAGAAACATATTTACAGACCGACATCTCCCATCATCTCCTCTTTTCTGTCTAAATAAAGAGAAGGGTTTTAACCTTAACAAAGCAAAATATATCACACAACAGTTATTAAATAAGAATCACAGTTAACAATATTTAGTCCATTAACATTTAGTAAGATTTGAAGAAAATATTTTATCATTTATCCTATCTTTGTGAGTCTAAAGTCTATGTAACTTATCTTTAAACCTAACTAAGGAAAACTATAACCATAACTATCTGTCTTCAACTCTTTCAAAGACCACAGAAGGATAATATATAAACTCTAGAAATGACAGAGACATCTTGCCTTGTCAGTCACCTGAAGTTCTTCTGTAATCTTCCATCTTCAGCCCATAGGCCATAGTGTGTCTGGCAGACTCTTCAGCAAAGCGGGAAACTTTAAACTGTCTTCTTGTATTGGCAGTTTGTCAGTCACTTTTCTCTGTGTCCTGCAGACTGACTGGCAGATTCTTCCATGAAGCAGGAACTCTGTAGCAATGTCCATCTTGAATCAGCAGTCACTTTTCTATGGGTCCTGCATGTCCAGTTTATACAGCATAAAGTCAAACAGTCAAGGCAAGAGCAGTATCTTATCCAAATGGCTAGTCTTGCCATATTGAAAGCAAACTTAACATGTTTTTTCGATGTCCATCTTTCTTTCTGACACAGGTGGTGTTGCCAGGAGCATTTATGTCTCACTGTCAAGAAAAACCCTAAACTCTTTTAAATGCCATATTCTGTAGGTCTTTGAAAGGTTTGAAGAATGCCTATTTATCTCAAATACATGTCTGTACATCTAGAAATCTTAACTAACTTAACTATAATATTTGACTATTATAGGTAGCAATCTATATTCTGCATTAAATTATACATTTCTAACTGAGCTATATAAACACAATACCTAAACAAGAGGAGAAATATACATATCACAAAGTTGACCTTAAATTGTATCAATAAATAAAAATCCATTCCAAAACAAAGTATTCATATCTATAAACCATACTCCTTGCACCACCACCCCCCCCCCCTTTACCGACTTACTGGGAAGAACCTGCCAGATACTCTCTATGTGGTAAGGGACCAATCAGAACTTTAGCTGGCAGGCTTTGTGTTTTACTGATAATAATGGAATGCAGTAGGTAGCTATAGCCCTTAGATGGCCTCCAAGCCTAGCAAACATTCTGCAGCTGCAGCTGACCAATTAACACATGGCAGGTCCCCCAGCCAGGAGGTGCACCAACCCTGAGACTGTTGCTATGCAACTAGCTGACTCCCAGAAACCCCTCCTTGTTGTGCTCCACTGCTGCTCAGGGTCTCTTCTACTTCACCTGCTATGTTAGATGGATGGAGGACCCAAGTTAACTTGAAATTAAAAAGACTCCTTGCTTTTGCACTGGATCTGGTCTCTTGGTCCAGAGTGTGGGCACAACAATACCTGTATGTGTGGTAAGAGGGTTCTGTCTCTGATGTTTTATTTCTGTTGTAAAAATGCTGATTCAAGGGTTAGAAGTGAGTCAAGCTGAATCATCTTTCTTCCCACAACTCAGCTCTGTTGTGGCATGTAAGTCTTAGATATACAGCTTTCACAGTATGGCTGTGCTGGTGGAAAGCCTTACTATGGACACTGGAATTTTACGTTCCTAGACATTCCATGTGACACAGAATTTATTCCTGAAATACAAGAAACATTTTTTTAGACCACAGGGCCCTCATAAACAGGTGGTGAGCTGTGATCTCTAAGCAAGGTGTGTGGTTTGGGCAAGGCCTGCTTCAGATAATTTCTGTGAGAAATCTCTATGAAAATCCCAACCACTAGCATCCTTAGGCTTGGTAAGCCTATGGCATAGGACTAATTTTTTTTGGCTCATCTTTTCAAATATTCACTTACACCAAATTTGGTTTCACTTAAAAAATGAACTGGAGATGTGAGGTGTGTTTATATATGTCAAAATATTTACAGCTGGGGATGGGGACATGTTCTGTGTAGAGTGGGCATTTGATAATACTGACATTTTAGAATGTGAGCTTTGAGGAGTTTGTTTTGCTTTGAGATAGGGTCTTTCTTTCTAGCCATGGCTCACCTGGACCTGGCTAATAGACTAGGCTGTTCTTGAATTTGAAGTAATCCTCTACTTTACCCATTGATGTTGATACTATAGGCATAAGCCACTGTCACTACTCAGACTGTCTTGAATAGGTTGAGGCTGATATAAGAGTGTGTGGTACCTATTGCCTTTCAGTACAGAAATCCAACAGTGTGATGTAGGGCTTAATCTAAAATTTCATGCTGTGTGTCATAACTATAAAACACAGGTAATTACAGACATGTTGCTGGTTTTTTGTTGTTGTGGTTGTTGTTAAAATGCCATAATCCTATCAGTACTCTTTGTCTGTCTCTTGTAGAAAAATATCACAGTGAATTAGGATAGCCACAAAAGGAGGATTTTCCAGGTAGCCTTTATCCCCTGCAGTCCCCCATCATGTTCACAATGAACTCATGGGATCTTGGTGAAGAGTTTTCACACACTTCTTATTCTACACTTGGATGGTTTAGGGGATGCCCTGCCCTTTATTTGTTTCATATGCAAAATAAAGTTTGATAGCAGTGGTTGATAGTGAGATTCTCCTCTGTTGCCCACACTCTGGTATTTTTATAAAACCAAAAAGGGTGTGCTAATAGAAGAGTGAAGTACTGTTGCAGAAATGACAATAGCTCTTTGTTCTGCAGTCTGTGTCATAGAATGCACCTCCTTTTCATTACAGTGTTGGATAGTGAACCCGGGTCCCATACATTGCTAGGCAAGAGCTCTCTCTGAGTTGTGTGCCCAGCCTGCACATGCACATTTTTCACAGCCTCTACATCTCCAACATCTTATTCTTACTGCTGCAGTGCCAGAGTAGAAAGTGCAGCTACTTGGGAGCAGTTGCCACATTAAGAATTATGTATCCTTAGTTTTGTACCAAAATGTAACTTGAGAGTTGTATTGGGTTTGTAAAACATTGAAGTTCAACAACCTTGTCTATACTGTAATATACCCTTTTCATTTATTTTGCATGATATTTAGATGCTATTTTCTTTACCATCTTCTGCTGGAGCACCACCCTAAGGAGCATTCATAGTTAAGACAAATGACTTGAACTTCCAGACATTGTGTTTATAATAAAGCTATCAAATATGACCCAATTTGGATGCTATTGCCTACATGCGTAAATCAAAGTGTCACATCACATCCAATAAATATTCACCAGTTCTGTGTGGATTGTTAATAAAAATAAAATGAAATATGAAATCTGACTATATTTCACCTCCTTTGAAATTACATGAGGACTTAAAATCATGGTGTGACTTTTCTGAAGAGACTGAAGAAGAATATGTAATAAAGCTGTCCTGACCAGAGTTCTTAAATACATTTAATTAGTGTAGGGGAAGGTTGAGCCATTGTTTCTAAACTTTTGAACAAAGAAATTTCAACAAACAATACAGAATAAATGCAATTTCTTTATATTATACATGTGATTACAAACAGGTAATGTCAAATAGTTCAACCAATTTTCTTATTGGTAGAAGTGAGATGCAATTTGGTAACTATAATTACTTATCTTTTTTATTATTAAGAGGTTTTTTTTTTTTTTCAAGCAGCAGGCATTTTTAAAGCTGATTAAAAAAGAAGTTAAGTGCCAATGGTGGCACCGTACTGAGTAAACTCAGAATCTTAGTGAAATTGTTTTCTCTAGTGTTAAGGAAATATATATATATATATTTATATATATGTGTGTGTGTGTGTATACATATATATATATATTTACACACACACATATATATATGTATGTACATATGTATATATATTTTTAAATATTAGAATGTTATGAAAGTTTACAGTCCTTAAGTTAATGGTTTTATTCGCTATAGCTGTTCTTTATGGAAAGATAGGTCTATGAACCTCTACCATCTCAATGAGCATTTATAATAATTCAGAACTCATCCAATGCCATTTCATTTGCTTTGAGTGTCCATGGGGTCATTATTGTCCTTGTTGCTCTAAATGAGAAGTCAGGAGTTACTGGTTACTGTGCTTAATGTATCAGATCAAACATAATTTTTCACTTATTACAAAAAAAAGTACTGAATGGTAATGGATTTTAAAATGACAGTGGAGATTACATTTCATGGTTTCAGGAACTGGGTAAACCATTAGTTTTTTATGGGTTGTGGGTTTCCTTGCAGTATAGCAAGAGGATGCAATTTATTTTACTATACTCATGCACATAGAGAAAGTAGGTAAAGATTATTTCCCATTAGCTCAGCTTCTCTGAGTGTTAATATTTTTCTGTGGTGATTTTCTTGGAGGAGTCTGGACACTGCAGACAAAAGCAGCCCCCTGTGTCACATTTTACATTGGGGTCTCCTCACTTGGGTCACTACCTTCCTGTCCTTTCTTCTTGTTTTCTCTAGAGGGTGACACAGGATTGGAGCACCTCAGCATTCCTATCAAGGAATTCCTGAAAGACTTGCAAAGGAAAAAATAGATGAATGGGTCGAGGCAGGCATTCAAGGATGTCAGCCACAAGGTGCTCTCCTTCACATAGAACAGAGTGTTTTCAGCAGCACAGTCAAAGACAGCCCGGGTTTGGCTCAGAGTGTAGGGAATCCGTGCAAAATGGAAGGGAACAAAACAAATGAAGAACACAGCAATGATGATAAAAACTTTGATATTCACCTTTTTCCTGGGAACTTTGCCTACACCCCTTGTTCTTACATAGGACCTATAGAGTTCTTTTGTAATGAGACTGTAACAAACAATGACAATTAAAAAATTAATCCAGAAAATGACTTGACAAATGTAATTGACTATTTCATGCCAGACCAGACCAAATTCTGACTTCAAGAAAGAACATTTCTTTATGTTCTTATCTTTCGGCCTCCTGTTGGTGAGAATCATGTTAGGCAGTGAGAGCAAGAACATGAAAGCCCAGATGACAACAGACAGGATCTTTGCACCCAAGAGATTGCTGGGGCTGGAAGTTTTAAATGGTCTGGTCGTCTTCAGGTAGCGGTCAATGGTTATCAATCCAAGGAATGATATACTGATATACATTGTAAAATAAAACGTGACTGAGGTGACTTGGCACACCAAGGTTCTGAGAGGTCCGGCTCCCAGTTTGGCATCACTAAGAATTTTGAAAGGAAAAGTTAGAATCATGAGAAGATCAGAAATGACTGTGTTCTTAAGAAAAATAATGAAGTTGGATTTACTGCGGATTTGAAAGAAAATTCTCATCGCCAAGCTGTTCGTGATGAGTCCAGCAAAAAACAGGACGGTGTAGAGCAATGGGAAGAGAACCTGGGTTATCTTGTAGTCCCTGCTGCACAGGGTGCCATTCCCAGTTGTGAAGGTGGCATTGGCTGTGGTGGTGTCGATATCAGGCATCTCCATTGTGCTAGCTCCTGTAGCAGAGAGAGGGAGTGTGATCACATTTAGTCACAGGTCATTGGTTTGCTAGTTATTTCTGTACATAATTTTCCAAAGTACAACTTTGCTTAAAACATGAGTTTTCCTATCTTTATGGTGTCAGTCGGTAGGAATTAATAGAAAACTGAATCCCTGAATATTCCATCTAAACAAATATTCCATCTGTAGCAAATTAAGATGATATGACGTACATTGCATGGGAGCCTTGTGTTTGTTTTGTTGATGTTTTATTTTTCTTAACACATTGTCCCCTTAGTATTCAGTCTCCTCTTTTTATTTAGGAAGCCCGATGACAAGTATGCTAGTAATGCTTTGTTTATTTCTCCCTCTTCTTCTCTCAAGCCTTGTGTTTCTGTTTATGGCTCCTTTTTCTTCTGACCCCATATTCCTGGTTTCACACTTTAGTTTCATTGATGAATTCAATGGAGAAGTGATTGGTTATGAGTTAGAAGTATAAATGAAATACCAATCAAAGCATTTGGTATGAAATCACTGTTGGGAAGTTCATTCAATAAAATAAGTAGAACAGTATAGAAAATAAAAATCTAAAATCTTTTCCTGTGTATTGGGAAATGTTTCTGCCTGTTCTCAGTCAGCCATACAATCATATATTAGCCTTACAGAGATTTGTTATTTACTTTAGATGATTTAACCCATGTATTTCTCATTTTCAAGTTGTTCATTATGTTTGAAGTTTGCATATGTTTTTTGAATATCATTCATTGTGAATCCCAAAACAGTAACAATAGTAGAAGAAGGCAGCAACAGCCTTTACATGTGTGACCGTTACTTGACAGTTCACAAAGCAGCTGCCAGAACATCAGACCCAGATTTATGACATATTCAGTGGTAACTAAAATAAAATAACAGAAATTGGTCCTCATCTGATTTCCTAGGTTACCACACAAGAGACAGCTCAAAGAGTGGCAGTTGTCTAGGATGTGTTACATATGGCATTTAACTTGGAACTTAAGATGTCACATAAAGCTTTTCACATTTCCATCAAATAAAATTATTTCTGATAAAACAAAATTTCTCATTTTCAAATATGATTAAAATCCCCACATAACTCTCATACAAGATCTAACATGATAAATGAAGATAGCAGATTTCTCCCCCAAATGTTGATGGAATCCTAGAGTTACTGAAAATTACACAGTTAAGAATATCACCAGGAGTGTGACCTCTGCTCTCAGCACCTCAGAGCTGAAGGAGCATCACTGAGTTCAGCCAGCATTGCTATCACTAGTTCCTTTTGTTTATCCATTCCTCGATGGTTCTAGAAGTTCTACCTTAGGAATGCTTATTGTGCACAGTAGGTAAATTTGTTAGCAACTTCCTTAACATTGGGAAATCCCATTCCTTTTGTTTATATTTAATTCTCATTTCACAGTCAAAAACATCAACATTTCTCCATGCTTGGCGTATTTTTACTGAAGAACTTAACCTTCTGTACCACTAAGACATGTATCTTAGTTTTTATTAACTTAATGTTATGCAAAATATATGATTCTGATCTTATGAATTGTTATATAAGGTTTTCAGTTTTAAGAACAAACTTGGAAAATATGCACATTATAAGTCTGTCAAGTGATAATGTCACATTACCTGCTTATCCTGTTGACTCTGAAGGATTTCGATGTCTTCAGTAATACCAGTTAGTAGAACTTGCAGACAGGCATCTGGTATTTTTCCCCCTGGTCACTCAGTTTAGTTGCCAACGCCCTCTGTGATAGAGAATCTGCTGAGTTTTCAGCAATGCAGTCTTGAGTGTCCTAGAGAGAAATAAATGGAGAGGGGAAGGAAGAGCATCTCAGTAAGAGATTACCTTCCACTGCACAGTCAAAGCTGTGCAGACACCGAATCTGTCTGTCTTTGGGACTTCTGCTTTTATCTCTTGGGAAATAACGGGGCAAAGGTGTCTGAGAAGTTATCTCTCTAAAACCAATTTAAGATATTGTTTTTTCTTTTTCCCTAAAACCTTTAATAGAATTAGTAAGGTGGAAGGTTTTTGTGTTGTTGGCAGGAGGCAGGGGGATTTTCCATGCAAAGTTGAGATGAAGTCTTCTAACCTTGTTCCTGGGAGAAGGGTACAAGCTTGCTTTCTTGGACAGCTGTTAACCTGAAAACAGTGTGCCCAAAATGGATGAGATGTTACTGTCTCGCAAGTAAATTCTATTATCTCAAAATGTGTGCTTCCTCAGGGGCAGTGAGCCTTTTGCTTCTTGTTTTATCCTTGTTCATAATGTCATTACTTAAAGTCTGTGTTTGATTAACATCTTTATGGGCAAAACAGCACCATCCCATTATAAATTATTAGGCTCCAAAATTATATTAGGAAAGAAAGCAGTTGTATCCATTGCTGTGATGATTGCATGAAGCAGCCTTCATGGTAGTTCTGAATAGAACTTAAATAATGAACAATGTTTTCTTAGTATTAAGTCTGTGGGTAATGATAATATCACACAAATCACTTTTGTATCACTATTATATGCAATTCTTTAACTTTTATATTTAAAAAGGCACAAGATACACTTGGAGTGAAATTATTGAATAATTTGTTACTGTGTTACATTTATATGAATATTTATGGCTCTTTCATTTTGAGAAAAACAACATTCATTGTACACATGCACAATATTTCCAACTGAAATGGCTTTCTATCTGTAGTGAAATCCCTTGGAGGAAGTAATATTTTACTTATTCTGAATTTTGAGTGTGTGTACACTTGTTAACTGGATTTAATGGGATGAAAGTGTGTTCTGGCAGCTCAGCATCACTTGAACATTTTGTTTTAGAATGTGCATCTAGGGCACCTACCTTGTCTCCATGGACCAGAGACCCCCATTTGTTTTCACCTCCCTCCATGTAATGTTCAGGTACACTAAGGCATGAGGACCACTGCATTAAATAGACACAGGACTTTCATTGCCACCAAAATTTGAAATCAAGTTATCATTCTCACTCACTTCAGCAACATTCAGTTGCAAGCTAACTGCAATATTTCCATCATCTAGAAAGAAGTATTGATTTGATTTTAAGCTTTTGAAGAGTCTATGTGGTTATTCTTACCTTGATATAAACAAAGCCAATTAAACTGGTCTTACTTGCTGACTTGGGCATCTGAAATACTTTTTTAAAAAAGCTTTATGCTTCAAAATAATAATTGCCAACATTTGATTTCTCATAGTTCCATGAATTAACCCACTTTTATTTTATCAGCCAGTACTCGTTTTATCATCCATTTTTAATGAAGGAAACTGAGTAGACAAGTCAGGTTAATTAGAGACTCCATCCCAGCTTGTATTGTCTCACCCAAAGCCACCTTTGTTCCTGAGACTATCCGCATGCCATCTCTGTGGTCTCTTTCCTTTTTGGGGCTCAGTGAGAACAGAACGGCTAAACTGGCTAAACTGCCTTTTATCAAAAAAGCACTATACTTGCCTTTATACCCAATTCTATCTAAACTCTGGGATATTTATAGTGTTTTTGAAATCTCTGTTGAAACAAGTCTTGGCTGTGAATCAGTCTGCCACATTAAGAGAAAATCAACTCACCATTCCTACATTATACTTCCCTACTAAGAATATAGATTTTTCAAACCCCTAGAACATTCCCAGTAAGGATTTGAAGAATAAAAATAGCTTTGACCTAAGTGACAACCACAATATCTCTCTCTGAACCTTCTCACATTTTCTTATTGGGTCAACTGCCAATTTCCCCTTTGATCATCTGACCATGAAAGTCACTAAAATATTTAGGTAGAAAGTGTCTCATCCTAAAACTGTGTACTATCATTCTAGCAAATCATGTCACCCTCCCCCTGTAAGTAAACAACATCATCACATACACTTTATAATAGCATTATTGGGAAATAATACTAATCTGGACTATGGCCCATTACCTTCTTCCTCTTAATAAGCTGTTCTGCATTTCCATCCTTTGAGGCCTTCTTTATTTGTGCCTTAACTTTGGAACAAGAGTTAGCTGTTTATTACTAAAATTGGGTTTTCTTTTTTAAGCTCTTTCTTTACATTCAGCATGTAGTAAACTTGAGTCACTTCTGCGGCCCTCTGCCCCTCACTCCTTTCATAGAAGCTCTTCTTCAACCATTCCTTCCTGCTGTGCTATCTTCACAACCACTCTGGAGAAACTTCTCTTTTGAGGTATACACAAGATTTTAGTAAAACAAAACAAATAAACACATTCCGTATAGAGGGATACCATCTCAGCCTAGACACATGGGGGAGAGCCTAGGCCCTGCTCCAAATGATATGACAGTCTGAAGATCCCCTATGGAAGGCCTCACCCTTCCTGGGGAGCTGAAAGGGGATGGGATGAGGGGCAGGAGAGGGAGGGGAGGAGGGAACTGGGATTGGCATGTAAAACAAGCTTGTTGCAAATTTAAATTAAAGAAATTATCAAAAAAAAAAAAAAATAGACATCACATCTAAACTGACTCTGCCTCTGTTTGGCCCCTACTGAACTATTGGTTGATGGTCCCTGTTGTGTCTCCAAGCCTGATTTCTGGGCCTTGCATGGTTAGAACATCTTAGTAAGTAAAAAAGCACAGACATGTATCATTTTAACGGTTTGCTCCTGTTTCCACTGTCTCTGCTACTTGCTTTTCTGACCTAAGTATAAAGTGGAGGTTTTGCACCTCTCTTAGGACTTTATGCTCTCCTTACTTCCTCAACCGTGACCAACATCTGTACCCACATCAAACCAAATACACATTAACCATATGCTTTCATGTTTTCTGTCCAACAAATTTTTTCATATTGATTCAGTGAAATCCACCGTGATGCACATTCACAGATTGGACCCTGATGTCTGGTCCCTTTCTCCATCAGGTGCTTGTTAGATTCTGCTTTCTGTTCCTCATCCCCTCAACTAAGACTTAGTTCACCACACAAAAGTGAATTTTCTATTGGTCTCTCACTTATTCAACTTCCCTAGCACTTTAACAGCCAACTGTTTCCTACAAAGCGATTTTGTCTTCTTTCCTTCCCTCAGTCTTCCTGAGGGACCCTGAGGGAACCATTCTGGTTCCTTATTCTACTGACTTCCTTTTTGCTTGGTAAGCTCACCAAGCATTAAGGGCCAACTTGGTGCTTACTAATGAGGATAATGGTGGACTTGAGAAGACAACCACTATAAAACAACAACCTAGAAAATAAATGATTTATGTCTGATGAATTCTCCAACAGTTCTTACCCTTCCTAGTCCCTGTGTGCTGAGGCTATTGATGGGGTCCTAACGCCCTACCTGTAGTCAGATGTCAGCAGTTGAGATCATGCATTTTAGGTGGCAGGGAGAGCTTCAGCAGATCTGTGGGAACTGTTTAATGCAGTACAGTGTGGGCTCTGGGTGTGGGAGGAGTAGAAGTCTAGCATATTAGCTGTGAGCACACACATATACACATACACATATACATATATATGTATATATGTATATACAGTGCTCTTGGGCATTGCATGTTTGTATGTCTTGGCTATTCTCACAAGGCTTTAAATAGAAGTTGGCATTAGCCTATTATTCAGAAGAAGAATCTGAGACCAGGATCTAGGCTTATTACCCAGGATTATGAAGCTGTTGAGTTTCATGACTAGGACACATTCCAAGCTCTCTCAGTCCTAAGCATGATACACTGCAGGGCTGTGGCTGTCATGACTTGTTATTAGTATGTCGATGTTTTATCTTTCACCATCCCTGTTTGGACATCTTTAGGTCTATTTGGATACGTGGAACATTAAGAATTGGCAGAGGGGTATAGAAAGATAAGTCAACAGAAAATGCAAATGTGTGTTCTTTCTAGCACAGTGTAATTGAATTGTAGCTTGAAGGAAAGTATATAATTGACAGAATTGGAGAGTGAACCTGGTGCTTACTCGCCAGTGGCAGAAGTAGGCATTTGTTATTGTTGCTGTATGCAGAGAACACACAGAATTCTATGTTTAACACTGCAGTTCCCCTTTCTGAAGGGTTTGTCTGTTGGTAATGATAAACATGTAATTTTTTTCCCCTGGGAGTAGTTCCTTAGGATAAAAGGCCAATAGGAAAAGGATGCCTTAGCATGGGCAGAGTTGTACAAAGAGTAACAAACGGGTAGATGATATGTTGAAAGATCTAGTTGAAAAGTAAATAAGTTCACTTAGGAAATGGAAAATAAAAGATGTCAAGTAGAAATCAGCATTGAAAAGCTTGAGCCAGTTTTAAGAGTTAGACTACACCTTGGACAGTTATATTTGGCTAAGGGTAAATCCAGCTCCGTGCTAAATTCATATTCATTACTTAGTGACTCGGTAATGTCTTTTCTCACAAAGGAAAAAGTAGTGCTTGGATTTACCATGATCATTTGAGGTGTCTAAAATAGAAGAGGACAGTGAGCATCTCGGATTATGTATTTCTAGCTACTTAGCTTACACCTAGTGATCCTTACAAGTTCCTTTTTGTCATCTGGAAAAAATACTAATATATCTGATACAGCCATGATGAAGTAAGTGTAGTATCCTTTCTTGAAGGTACTTGAAGGTCCTAGCAAGACTTTTATCCTATATATAAAACACATACTATTGCTGTATATCTAACACCAAGCTCACTAAGGAAATGATATTTTCCTTAAGAAAATAGTATCATCATTTTATGCCATGTTCACATTTAGACAATGAAAAAAATCTTTCAATAGCCAGAACTTACTCTGTAAGGTACGCCACATCAAATGCTTCAGGTCAGCTGACACTTTATTATTTTTTACTTTAGCATGTTCCAAACTGGAAAAACAGGGTGGTGCCGATGAAGGTTGTGGTGTGTTGCAGAGCAGAGAGATGCCACCACGGAAAGTGGGCATGGAGAGGCAGTGATTAGTGTGTTTCCGGAGAATAAAATGTACCCCCAGCCCTGCAAACTGGTGTCAGAGGCATTTGCTGTTTTTCAGGATGAATCTTCAAGTCATGAATGTAACCAGCGCACAATCCTTCTCTATGGAGTCGGAAAAGAGCGTGATGAAGCCAGGCATCAGCTGAAGAAGATTACCAAAGATATCCTGAAAATCCTGAACAAGAAGAGCACCACAGAATCAGGGGGTAAGGAGCCTCGGGCCCTGGCTCCCAGTGCATTTGTTTGTGTTCCCTGTTCTCACAGGCTTTATCAAAGTGGACCACATCGTCACTGTGACTATTGCTGTGACTATTGCTTCCTCCCTTGAATGACTGTCACACTGAAATATGAATAGGCACATTTACATCTTAAGGTCTTGTGTTCATTACTAGCAACCTTGGTATCAATTACCCACCTTCTGTAGGTAGATAGAGTAAGTTTTGTGTTTTTTCATTTGTGTACCATCTTTTCTGTAGTCACCACTGTGGATGATGTACTGAATAACGAGATGAAACACTCTGCCTGCAGACAGTCAATTACCTTTTCTTTGCATCATTTTAAAAGCAGGTGGCTTGCTTTTTCCCCGTTCTCTCATATTTCACATTAGAAGCAAGTCATGATATAGTTGATGATTTCATGTTATTCAGCAAGACAGTGGTGACAATAGTCGTGGCTAAGTCTGTCACCAAATAATTCCAGGTGAAAGAGGCAATTTGATCTTAATAGTAATGCCTTTTTGACTTGGAATGTTCTTTGCCTGTTATTTTCTTATAGTTTCTTTTTTTTTTCCCAGAGCTTTTCTCTTGCACTGTGTCATCCATCACATTACATAATTGGAGTGCTGTTATTATCTACTTCATATTTGCCCAGTTACTCTTTTTGAGGTTTGCATCATTTTATAGCCATGATTTAAAACATGGCACTATTTGATCTTTCCCTCTCTCACATTCCAATAATATAAAGGAGGAAAAGGTTTTCATTTGCCATGTGTAGAGCTGGCATTCCTACTTGAGCTTTTGCTCCTTGAGAAGAAACAGCTGGGAACCCTCCCCGTTCTTATGACTTTAACAGGATACACTACTAGGGCTTGCTTATGTAATTTTCCTGAAAGTGGAAATAATTGAACTCGATTATATTTCTGTCATCAGCATGGGTGTACTTGCTTGTGCACAACAGTACTACAGGTCTATGTTTCAGCCTGTTTTCTGAAGCTCCAGTGTCCCAGGGAGAGTCTGAAGCTAGGAGAACACAGTGGCCCCTCATGTGTGATCTTTATCCTATGTCCTAGCTCCTTTTCCTTGCCAATTCAGGGCCTTCAAATACACCAGCTTTATAAGATATGACCAAGAGCTGAGGAAGGGAAATGAAACTGTCTATTGTTGGCTTCTTGTAGCCCTTGAACAAGAAACTGCTCTGTCTAAGAAAACTATCAGTAGTACTGTGTTCTCTCAGAGAAAAGAGGAAATGAGTTGCATCAGAAGATTGAATTTAGAAGCCTTGCAACTAGCTAGAGAGGACTTTCAAACCAGCTTTTGGTATAGTTGGAATGAGGATAGGAGGCGCTGAGGCCTACAAGAGGCACAGTCATGCTTGATTTATTCAATTAGTGTGGAGGGCCTTTGCAGAACTCTGAAATCTCTGGTTTAGAAAGACCACAGGAGGTTGGAAGAGGAAAGAAGCAGTGTGGTGTCTTTTTTGTTGAGCTTCTTTCCTTCCTTCATTGTTTTAATGCCGGACGACCATCTGTTTTGTCTTTGTGCCAAACCCTTAAGTAGACACTTCTTGCATACAGATAAAAAAAAGAGACATTTGCTGTTCAGCATTTAAAAATATCAGTCACGTAAACACTACTTCAAAGTGGCATCTCCAGAGGGGATTTTTTTTCCCCTTTCCTCTATTTTAACGATATTAATGTCAGATACAGTGTTATGCATTTGGTAAACAGTCTTCATTTTAAGTTATTTAAGACTTTGTTTATATACCAGAAGTTAGCCAGCTGTACTTGAGGCTAATGGAAATTTGTCCTTACATAGACACACACACACACACACACACACACACACACACACACACCCTACACCTACCTTACTTAGCAGAATGAAAACTAGTAAAGGAACAAAGAAAACACTCTTAGACTAGCATGTGTCTTGTTGTTGGGAAAAGCAAAACTTAGATTTTTGAGGCACATTTGAAGACACAGGGGAACCAGCCAGGCTTCTCTTTGGGGATCTGTAACATGAGGTCTTTTGTTGTTATGATTTATCTTTTTCAGATAGGGCCTTCTGTTTTCCAGGCAGACTGGAATTTGGGGGAGATTACCTAGAACTTCTGTTCCACTTGTTTATGTCTCTCACAAGCTAGGATTACAGGCTTACACCACCATGGCCTGTGTATGTGATGCTAGGGACTGAAGCCAGTCTGTGTGCATGCTAAGTAAGCATTTTGCCGACTGAGCTACCTCTGCTCCCCCTAACTTAAAGCTCCAATAACATTTCCTATTAACTACCAAGAATTTAAAAGCTTAAAATTTTAATGTAAAAATTAAGGAGTAGAAGAGTACTCAATAATGTGTGTCATGAAAATAAGAAAATAGATTCAAAAAGCCTTTCTACTAAAAGTGTGTTGTAACTTGTGCAAATGACATTGATATCTTTCATTTACAACCACCACTAAATACCAGTAAGTATTTCTAAATTGTAAGACTTAATTATATCTTTTTAGTTGAGCCCTTATGACATTGCATGTCAGTAATGGAGCCTGTTCACATAAATGAACTATCTGTACTAGCTGTCCTATCTCTGCCTCCCAGTGCTGTGATTAAAGGCAGGAGTCACCACTCCAAGCATTGTGTTTTAAATGGGTCCTGGAATCTGCACCCAGAGGCTCATGCTTGCAGGGCAAGCAGTTCACTAACTGAGCTGTCTCTCCTGCCCCACATGCCAGCATGTATTATTAATTTATTTATTCTGGTATCACTATCAGTTGCATCAAATTGAAACACGAAAACTTGGTTTGTTTTTGTATTTGGCTTAATGTTCAAAGTGGAGTCTATTTTTGATGTAATTTCCTAAAGCATTACATTTGCCATTAGCCAAGAATTGTGGAATAGCACGGAATACTGCTGACTTCTTATGCTTTCAGTAGAGAGATGAAAGACATGTGCTGTCTGCACTAATGTTTCCCACACGAGACTGGGTCACAGAGCTCCTTCTGAGTTGCTGTTGACCATGTAGCACACAGTGCTGGTAGACATCCTGTAGGCCAACCATTACTTTCAGTTTTCAGGTTTGTCTTTGTAAATCCATAGATGCAATTCTGTTTCTAGCTACTTTATTGTATTTTGTTCTTAGCTGTGAAGAAAACAAGAGTTCCCCAAAGTAAGCAAAACTGTGTAAATTTCTTTATAAATAAATATGCATATGTATTTAATTGATTTAGAAAAATACTAAGGTGAGGTTAAAACCTATAAAATGGCTCAGTAGACAAAGGAAGTTGCCAGCGAGCCTCATGACCTGAATATAATTTCTGGAGAAAGTTTCTACACACTTTCCTCTGCCTTCTCCACATGTTCCATGTTGACTGCAAAAGAACATATAATAAATAAAGAATAGATAAATTTTAAAACCTCAAATATGGCCTGTTTAATCATAGTGGGCCTTGGTGCTCCCCCATGGAGCACCATTTATTGTTTCTATTGTATTTTTAAAGTCAGTTAATTTCATAAAGGCACTTTATGATAGTAAAAATCTAGGCATTATTCACTGTATTTGAAAAGTATGTCATGTGTTCATAGATAAGAATAATATGTGTAAGAATTATTAAATTTTAAAACAAATTAAAATTACCTCCACAATAAGCCAATCTTAAAACATAATGTTGAGTGAAAGTTTCCACATACCCAAGATGGAAGATGTTGAAATCTTTTCCCCCTGGGGGCAGGGGAGGTGATTTAGAGTGGGATAGGTAGGCTTCTGAGGTATTATTTCATGATTTGGAACTCACATGAAAGTGCAGAATATATATGCTTTCTTCTATATATGCTATACTTCAAAAAAAAGGAGCAGGGAGCTTGAGTCAGGGAAAGAATGGAGGAGAGCAAGAATAGAGATACCATAATAGAGGGAGCCATTATAGGTTTGTAGAGAAATCTGGCACTAGGGAAATGTCTAGAGATCTACAAGGATGACCCTAACTAACAATCTCAGCAATAGTGGAGAGGCTACCTTGAATGCTCTTCCTCAATAATGAAATTGATGACTACCTTATATGCCATCCTAGAGCATTCATCTAGTAACTGATGGAAGGAGAAGCAGACACCCACAGCTAAACACTGAGCCTAACTCTTGGAATCCAGTTGCAGACAGGGAGGAGTGATGAGTCAAGGGGTCAAGACCAGGCTGGAGAAACCCATAGAAACTGCTGACCTGAAAAAGGGGGAGCTCATGGACCCAAGACTGATAGCTGGGAAACCAGCATAGGACAAACCCAGATTCCCTTATATGGTGTTGGTTGGGAGGTCTGGGCAGTCTATGGAGCCTCTGATAGTGGATCAGTATTTATCACTAGTATACAAATGGACTTTGGGAGCCCATTCCACATAGATGGATACTTTCTCAGCCTAGACACATGGGGGAGGGCCTGTGCCCTGCTCCAAATGATATGACAGACTCTGAAGACTCCCCATGGAAGGCCTCACCCTCCCTGGAGAGCAGAAAGGGAATGGAAGGGGAGTTGATGGGGGGAACAGGGGAGGACAGGGGGTTGCAGGAACTGAGATTAATATGTAAAACAAGCCAGGACAGGGGAGGTAACTCAGTAAAGTGCCAGGACACACATAAAAATAGCTGGGCATGATGGGGCACGCTGCTAATCCTGCTGTTGGGGGGAGGTGACTAGATATAGGCAGACCTCTTCTGCTCCTTAGCCAACCAGTCTAGCCTACTTGGTGAGTTTAAGTCAGTAAGAACCCATCACTAAATAAAATAAGATGGTGATATCACCTGAGGGATGACAACAGATGCTCTCCTCTTGCCTCCATACAGGTGTATAATAATATGTGAACATGCACTCATGCACATACATCAAAAAAGTGTCTTTAAAAT